TGAAAATGACCTAGCTGTTCAGTGAATAACTTATTCGCCAAAATTTTTACACATCTGTATGTGAGAACCACACATGCCTGTGAGCTGAATTTGAAATTTTTAAACTGCACTGTGATAGGAAGCATTTCCTTAAATTTCAGCTTTTCAGACTTCCGAGTTAGCAATTTTCATGCCAAAATTCTCACGTGCTCGTAAGTGGGGCTCAGACGGACGTGAAGGTTGGTATCGTGTTGCTGGAGTAACGTCTAGTCAGCCCACAGGCAAAATTACGATGTCGAAGCTTGTTTGGTTGCCGAGTTGAAATACCTGGACACACACACACACACACACACACACACACACAAACACACACAAATACACACACACATACACACACACAAACATACACAATGGTCGTCACAATATGCGTTTTTGCATTTGCAATTATGCAAAAACGAGCAAAAACACTCTCCAGAGTGGATACGAATATAAAAATCATGTTTGCCCTTTCAGATCCATTCTTTTCATTTTTATGGACCCAAAAATCTCTTTCGATCAGAAACCAGTTCCAACGTAAAATAAAAAGACAGAAATCCAATGCATACGCCACAACAGATATATTAAAACATAGTTACAAGTGTTGCCGCGATCTCCTTTGTTCGGTGTTAGAACTGTTCTGAAATCCTTCCGTTTTCCAACATTTGGCACTGATTTAAAGCACAACCTGGCTTTAAGTTGCACACTGGGGCTTCGATCAAGGCGGGAGTTATAGCAGATGAAAAAAGGGCACGAAATTTGAAGAGTAAAATTTAAATCTTTTTATGGACAACAGTAAAAAGTTAAGTTTTACTTTTTATTAAATTAACTTTTTATTAAAAATTAACTTTTTATTAAATTTTACATCAAATTCTGTGAATTTCTGGCAAAATTTACCTTCCATTATCAAAATTCGAGTATGCAACATGAGTTTTGTGAGCGTACTACTATGGTTTTCACTCAGCTTTAACTAAGCATCAGCTTCATAAATAAGGAAGCCTACTACTGCAGATGGATCTGAATTCCGACTAAGAACACCACGATAAAAATTGGAAAAGGAAATAAATGCTGTTTAACAGCAAAAATACAAAGAACGCTCGGGCTATCAGTGTGGGATTCGCAAAAAAACGAATGTAAAAAATTAGCCACCCATTATTACCTTGCTCCTCAAATATATGAGAGAGAGAAGAATGCTGTTGGCACTTGCTGCTACCATCAGAACACTTCTGAATGCACCTGCCATTCACGGAAAGCGAATACAAAAGGAATTTTGACTTTGACAAATGATGAAAGGAATAAACATATCTAACATGGAAATAGGTTAGCAACGTAGAACTGACACACACATACACACATACACACGTGCACACACGCACATACATCCACACACACATACATGCACACACACACCCACATATACACATACATACACACACCCACACACACATAAATGCATACACACACCCACATATACACACACACACAAATATTGTGTATTGGTGAAAAATGCACTGATAAAAATATTAGTTGCAAGAAAAAATGAATATTTTTACTCTTAGCGCTGGATCACTTGGCTCGTGGATCGATGAAGAACGCAGCTAGCTGTGATAAATTTTTTTTTTGCGAATTGCAGACACACGGAGCACCAGAAATTTCGAACGCATAAACTAGCTAGTGGTAATGCTTCAAACCAGGAATATATAGCAGTGACGGCCCAGATGTTTTGCTTTCTGCATCTTCGTTTGTGCTTCTAGTGGCGCGTCTGAGACGAAGTAGCCACCTGAAATAGTTATATTAATTCATAGTA